AATACAACTTATTTTTAACTGACCTTCTGAAGTGATTATTTTCATCCTTTCAACAAGTTTATCACATTGTTCCTTCCAACTGTACTTTCTTGCATATGCACCACGCACAAAATCAAACTCCCCAAGTCGCATTTCCCTGTCTTTCTGACAGACAGCTCTGATTGCATTGGACCAGTCTTTAGGATCTTCTGATTCCACAACACAGCTTGAACCATGTGGAACTTTCTTCAAAGCTTCTGCAAGACCAGTGTTCCCACTCACTAGCACAGGCAGACCAGCAGATAAAGCCTCAAGGGCAGCAAGACCAAATCCCTCAGTTCCTGATGCCATTACAGCAAGATCTACTTCACAAAATAAATCAGCTAGCTTCTCTCTACTTTCATTAAAGCGACGCACTTTAAGTTGACTAGGACCAATGCCTTGCTCGACTAACTTTTTTGCTACTTTCTCTTCTTCTCCCCGTGTTGCTCCAACAAACACAAGTTTGCAGGTCATGTCTTTCAACTCAGCAATGGCTTGGGAAGCAATGTCATATCCCTTCAGCTGGAAATTTTCATTGTCACCACGTCCAAAGACCAAAACATTGAATGCCTTTCTTTCTTCAGTGGCTTGGTTTACATCTGAAAACTCAGAGAAAATTCCTGGGGTAAAATTAAGAACATCTTGATCTTTCCCACAAGGACGAAGATAACCTGAAAATACTTCAGCCAGCTTGGGTCCAATTGCTACAACTTGATCAGCCAATTTACAGAGATCAACCTCAACCTAGTGTTTGTCCTTGCCTCTGAAAATGTGTTCTTCATATTCTTTGAACATTCCAAGTTCTTCAGGAGCGGTATGAACGACTTGAATCCACTTGCAGTACGGATGAGTTCGCTTGATAAACTGCACTTGCCGACCAAGAACAGCCCCATGTCCTATCACACAGTCCAGAGCATGGTCTTCTGGTAAAGAGGACAACCAGTCAACAGGGTTGTCATAACCTGCCATTTTTTGTGCTTCAATGAGATGAACATTGTGATTTGCAGCGACTCGTTTATCCTCTTCACTGCACTGGGGGAGATAAACACTGACCTCCATGCTTGGGTTTTTAGCCAACTGAATGGCCAGCTCTCGGTTGATGGTTGACAAGCCTCCTTTTGTTGATCTCCATTCACTGCTTAACAGAGTTACTCTCAGCTTGCTACTGTTTTCTTGGCATCCCTGTGATGTAGAAGCTGTGCAACGAGGTGACAAATCCTAATAAAAGAGAAGAGTAAAGTAAATTACTAAACACAGGAGCCCAGTACAATGGTAGCATCTTTCTGTCATACAAAGTGTGGGTGGTTGTTTAATATTACTTTTACCTTCATACTCAGTTAACATTAATAACATAAACTGCCACTTTTACTGCTATTAAATCAGTGTTTTTGGGCATTCTTTGGTGGCATGTTGGCTGTCTGTTGCGCCGTCGCGTGACCATGTTAGCGTTTGTAGCATTTCCCATAGATCGTGAGCATTCCTGTCCAGTGGTATGTCGCTTCTTCTCATGCATGGGTTGCGGGTTGATAGCCTTGTAGGTGTTCTTCTGCCTTGGGGTGTGATTGCAGTTGCTGCCCCCTTGCCCCTGGGCACCAAACCTCCACATGGGATGTGGGCGTTAAAGCCTGGTTTATACATCTTCATAAGGAGTTTTAAGAAGGCTTATAACAGAGGGGCTTACACCCAAGGGGGATTATAACCACAATAGAAAGAGTGCTTTGAAACCAGCTAACAGAAGAAATGATCAAAATAAGTTTTGCTGTAACCTGTTTTTTATTAATTAAGTTTCAAAATGTCATAATACTTAATTGAATTCATCTCAATACATTTTGCGGGGGGCTTATAATTGGGTTAATTAGATTTTTTAGTTTATTGGTAGGTGGGCTCTGTAACTGGGGTGTAGTCTGCGAATTTTCTTGCTGGGCAAATATATTTGAAAGCTTACTAGTCCAATGGACAAGAGTCCAAACAACTCATCTTGGAACTGTGTGGTTCTAAAAATTATCCATACCTCCCCCACAGAAGGGATTTATCCTTAGGATCCCCCACTCCCACCACTTCTCTGGAAATTCCAGTCAAGCTTCATACATTTACTTTAATTTTTGGGCCTTTGAGAACCCCCCACCCCCCAGGAATTTCCGTTGGGGGAGTATGGATATTTTCTGGAACTACACCTTCGCAGGGGGCGGGAGAGGGGATAGGCTTATAAGTGGCAGTTTACTGTAGTAAACTCTTCTGGAGACTCACTTAAGCTACGTTGCCTTAACCTTAATCCATTGATGCCTGAGACTTTTTACAGTTTCAAGTTTATGGTTTTGAGTGATTATTTCTACATAACAATCCACAGGTTTTTGTGACACTGTGTTTGAGGTTTCCATGGAAAGCGCAAATCTAAAAGACTGAAGGCTCGGGTTTTCTAGAAATGTCATTTTGACATAGTCATTTTGCTTCATTGACCTATGATAATGGCTCAAGTATGGTTTGTAATGTACACAGTTTTAGTAAGTTTACAGCAATTTTTCCTCTTAAGTAGCTGCCTGATGAGAATCGTTAAGCATGACAGTAGCTAAGATTCCACTTTCTCAAAGAAGCAAGCAAGGTGATGTACTTCATTAATTTTGTGATTTTGGCTTGCCACTCATGGAACTGGAAAAATGGCCACTCTGAAACGAAGTAGCTTTGGAACCAGACTACTGACAAATTTCATGACCTACCATGGCATGTACAGTATTTTGGAATTTATAGCCACTGAAAATGAAAACCAGTGCAAAATTTCTGTGGTTGGTCAGAGTGGCTGTGGACGTAGTAAATTATTTGAAAAAAATGGGGAAGGAACAAACGCTACCAAAAATTCTGGTTATTTCCCAGCATGCAATGCAGATGTGATGATGAAAATCACCGAAAGGCCAGTATGTACTAGAACTAAAGGCTGTAGCTTGGCTCGGGAAACAAATAAGAACAAAACATTAGACCCCTATAGTGGGGGTTCATTGTGCTGCAAAGTGTGCGTTTTTAAGCTGGGGCAGTAAAGTGACTTCAATCATTATGAAAAAAAATAAGCCAGTTAGCCTTATGAAACAAGAAATGATTGGCATTATTTTCAACTGGGACACTTTTACAATGCAGCCCCTCTGCCCCCCAAAATATTATTAGCATGACAGTATAATGTGACTTACTGTTGATCTAACTGAAAATTCCAAACATTATTGTCATTCTACTCTTATAAATCCTAACAGAAGTTTTAAATACTGCTCTATAACAGTAACATTCTGTTCCTTAAAACTCCCAAAGAAAATTAATTCTGTCGGATTTTGCATTTAATTAGCCCTTCTTACAATCCATGGCAAGTGAATATGTTTCTGTTGTTGGGGCCATCTACAAATAGCATATTCTTTTCTTAAGAGGATCAAAAGATTTTTCACATGTGGAAAAAAAAAGCTGTTCCTGTGGGACCGTGGGAGGGCTGCTTGTTCAACTGCAGCTCCCAGTAGGCTAAGTGCATCAACGAATACTGTATTTAGATAATCATTCCATGTACATGTAGATATAGGGCCATTAATTCCAAACAATAATTTTGTGTTTGTTCCAAATTAACTTCCAAGTCTTTTCACCAGATAACCTGAAATGACCTGTCCCCTCCCAGCAAAAATTGGCACCCATTGAAGGAGGAATGGGACACACAAAGCCTCCTGGGTTTTGTCTTTTTCAACATGGCCAAAGGTATTTCTTGATTATGGGTGTTGCTGTCATGGGCAGCCAAAAAAAAGTCACTTCTAAGATAGAATGTTGACTTTTGGTTTTGCAACAATGATTTCTGTAAAAACCGGAGGCAAAAATTGGATTTTTGCCATTTTTTTGTGATGTTAAAAACAGTCATTTTTGTTGTTGTCCAAATTTAACAAGTGATACAATGTATTTTTGCAAAAACACTTTTTTTGCATTTACTGGATATCCCAGTTTGAAGGACATTCTACTCAATGCTCACAACTGACAGTTAATTAAGGCAATGTTAGTGTTATCAAGAAAGTTGCAGTTGCAAGCAGTGTTGTCGTTATGGCCAGTTTTGGCCTGCACGGCTGTCAATGGGTTATGTCCCCAAAATGTACTGAGTCAAATAATAATTTTTTTCTTAATATGTCAATAATACCATTATTTAATAATATGAGAGGCAAAAATAATCTGCACAAGTATTGCACCTAGTAAGTTTGATTACCTCTGTTAGCCTAGACATCACAGGAGGCCTAACAAGCAACTTTAATGACAGTCACTGCAATAGGGAGACAAAAATGGAACAGTAGAGTCAATACCTGCCACCGACGATTTGGACAAGTAGTCAACACAGTATGTATAACCAAAGGGCACCAAAGAGCAATAATCAAAGGTCAAAGATGTTCACAAACAAAAAAAATTATTGTATGATCTCAAGTTGCATGAGATTCAGAGGTGATAAGTTTATGAGTTGAATTATATTGTGACGGTGAGAGGTGGTTGTCTTTAGATCCCCAAATCCAAATGAAAAATGTGTAAATGTAAAGCGTTACAAACTACAAGAACGTTTTGTTAAACAAGTTAAACTGGGGATTAAATTGAGCAACAGCAATGAACTATCAGGTTTTGTTAAAAGAATTGGAGCAAAACTTGCAGTCAGGTCTAACTCGAGGTATAGTACCAGTCAAAATAAGATGACCCTCGATCCTCGCATCTTGAAGCTCGAACGCTTCGAGTTTCAAGACAGAAGGATCAAGTCTCGAGTCTGGAGGATCAAATTTGCACCGTCGATCAGTGGTTGTATGGCAAGAGATGTTCTTGCCATACAAATCCTTCTAATTGTTATCAATTTAAATGTTCTCAAAACATAGCCAGTCCTAGCTAACGTCTTAATGATGCTGACAGTTTCGATAACTGTCAGCCATCTTTATCAAAACTTGACCTTCTTTATCGCCCAATCCGGGTAACCACATGTATCAAGGGCTGTTCTTATCCCGTTTCTGGACACCCTTATCACCAGGAGGGAGGACGGATCCATCAAACTACTGGTCTACAGGAAAGCCACATACACAGACCAGTACCTGCCATTTCAATTACATCATCCACTTCAGCACAAAATTGCTGTCATACGGACCTTATTGGAAAGGAGTGACAGCATTGTCCCGGAAGAAGGAGACGGTAAACAAGAGGAAGAACACATAAGAACAGCCCGCCATACATATGGTTACTCGGATTGGGCGATAAAGAAGGTCAAAGAGCAAATGAACAGAAAGAAAGCTTTTAGAAAAGATAAATCCAAGAAAGATAAAGCACAAAAAAAAAGCAAGAGGAGTGGTGACTATCCCATACGTCCACTCATTCACGGAGAAAATACAACGCATATTCACCAAACACAGGGTAGCCACAGTGGTTAAACCTCAAACCACCCTCTTACAGGTTTTTAGTTCACCCGAAGGACAAAGTTGAGAAACACAAAAAGGCTGGAGTGGTGTAAAAAATTCCATGCAGCCAATGCGAAAAGGTATATATCGATGAAACAGGGAGACAGCTGGGAACCAGGATCACAGAACACAGAAAGGAAGTAGAAAAGATCTCTGATAGAAATTTCACAAGATCCACTCGCAGAGCTTCTACCAATGAGAACCATAAATCAGAGCCATAACAGACTATGTCTGTCAGAACAATCATATTATGAATTGGGAAGCAAGTGAAATAGTTGAGCAGGAAAGCGACAAGTTTAAGCGATGGATTAAGGAAAGCATATGTATTAGATCGAACACTCCTACTATGAACAGGGACGAGGGAGCCTATCAGCTTTCTCCCATATGGACACAAGTGATCTCCACCCCCAAACCAGGGGGGAGAGAGTGTCTAGAGAGTGACTTTGCACGTTTATCGCAATAATTTACACCTTCAGAAGCCTATTTAAGGCTTCTAACACTTTTAATGTTTTCCAAGTTTTGATAAAGATGGCTGACAGTCATCGAAACTGTCAGCATCATTAAGGCATTAAGACTGGCTATGTTTTGAGAACATTTAAATCGATATTCACTTCACTAGCCTGATGAATTTCTTCAAGAGCTTCTAATATTATTGTTGGCTGACTATTGTAATCACTATTTTATAAATGTATGACGGAAAATTTACAGGCTACCTAAAGGCCTCGCTAAGATGTCAGAACCTTTAAAAGTGCAACAGTCAATGTCTAAAAAATTTTGTACGATAGTAATTTATATAAAAAACAAAATCTTACCACAGCTTGTGATATGTCTTAACACCTCATATCCACACATGATGGAACACTTTACAATACCCACTGACAAACCTATAAAATACAAATCGAGGCCAAAAATACTGAAAAGCAAAATTTGCATTTTTTTGTTGGTTTTTTTTGGATAGAATGTGCAAAAGTACTGGAATGTGTATGTTCAGACTATGTTTTGTCAAAAAAGAAAAAGTTACAGTTTTATTTTTCCTGATGATGAAAATCCAAAGTGAGCTACAATTTATTTAAAGATGCCAAAGGTCTTAACACTTGCATTAGTGTATTGGGTGAGTACTAATATCAAACCCTGCACATTGGAGAAATAGTACTAGCCTGTGCCACAGACAAACTTAACTCTGGTTAAGTCCATCTGCGAAACAGCACCAATCCTTGTTCTGGGCCCCCACCTGTGCAGCCTGCAAAGAAAGTATTGTCTGATAGCCCGGGGCTAGTGGATTTTGCTATTGGGCGGGTGAATTCTGTTCTTAACTTGCCTGACGGGCAAGTGATATTTTTTTAGCAATTTGAATAACAGAAGAACTGTGAAATCAATTCTGCTGGTCAAAAGGCTTTTTTGGGGCTAGTTGAAATGACATCCAGGCTAGTACATGATGCTAGCTTCAGCTTGCCCGAATGGCAAGCTGTAAAAAATGATTTTCTTTGCACCCTGCTGTGTATTAAGATTTGAGTACGCGCCATGATTGTCCTGTTAAAAAGCCATTGTCAATTTACCAATCAAGATGAAAGAAACTCAAAACATACTTCCAGTATTTCATTGAGTCTGTTGGGGGCTCAGAACAAGGATGTCGGTGCTACTTCACAGACGTTACTAACAAAGGTTAAATTATATCTGCGACGCAGGCTAGAGAAATAGTAACCACAAGCTTTAATACCATTCAGGAGGGGTGGGGGTGTACTCCTTGGAAATGGTGGTGGTGTGCTGCCGAGTTATTCAAATTCTGACCCTATTTGTGACCTCTCATGCGAAAACATACACTGACAGTTTCCCGTTAAACGACTGAAGCCATTGGGTAGCCGTTGGGTACCCGTTGAAAACGTTTACTAAAACGTTGGAGGTGTTGAGAAAACGGTTGGGATTTTTCCTTTACCCGTTGAAGGCGTTGACAAAAGCCGTTGAAAACATTTTGTTCCAAAGCGTTGGCAGCGTTAGAAACATAGGCACGTTAAACGTGCATGAGCTATTTTGAATGTTTCAGTGTAACTTTAATGCTTCGGTGTAACCTTACCAAGAGTGATCAATCTACCTCTTTCATCCTAAATGTAGATTAGGTGTTTGTGCGAAATTGCGTATTGCGGTACAAAATGAAAACGCGAAACGCTCAGCTGAGTCGATCCTCAAGCTATATATTCACTTTCCTCTGTCTTTCCCTGTTACA